TTGCAGCAAAGAGCAGTCAGCACGCTGGTGTTTTCAGGAGGCTCGGATTTGTCTTCCACGTGCTGCGGTTTGTTTTCAGTTAATTCCTGAGCCAAGTGACCAAGCAGTCGGTTTTGGAAACAAACCCCAGCAAGCTGATGCCTGCCTTTGTTGCCAGAGACTTGGGTAGGAGGAACACCTTAAATGCCAAACAGCAATATCCTGGGCTTTTTAAACTGTGTTGTTCAAATCATTTCTTAGTACTGAACATGGTGCCCTGGGACCCATCTCAGTGAATGCAGTGGTGCCCTGGGACCCATCTCAGTGAATGCAATGGTGCCCTGGGACCTATCTTAATGGACATTGCTTTATTTTGAATCCACTTAGTATTGTTTGATGATGGTGTTTTCCTACTTAGCAATATAGAAGCTGAATGTCAGAATCATGTGTGATAGACACTCAGTCCAATCTTCTGCCTTAATTTAGGGTATTGATGGCCTTGTTATACCTGGCATACTCATCGTCTACAAAAGAAATGATATCCTACAACATCTGTAAACATTCCACCTGCCAGGATTCGCGGAGAAGCATGCGCTGTGGCCTTGGTGTTGAAGGTAAACACCTCACTGGACGCTTCCCACGCCTCCAGTGTTGAAGGTGAACGCTTCCCACACCATCATCTTAGGGAAGAAAAATGAGTCAGAATTTGTCTTTTGAAAAATCAAGTCCTAATATAATCTACTTTCTTGGGAACGAATTTCTGTCACTTACCAAAGTGGCACCTGTTTCAGCAGAATCTCTATTCAGGAGAACCCCATGAGCTCATTCCTGTGCATCTCCAAAAGAGGGAACAGGGGCCACAGGAGCCACAGGAGCCACAGGAGCCACGGGAGCCACAGGAGCCACAGGGGCCACAGGAGCCACAAGAGCCACAGGAGCCACAGGAGCCACAGGAGCCACAGGAGCCACAGGGGCCACAGGGGCCACAGGAGCCACAGGAGCCACAGGGGCCACAGGAGCAGCTTCTCACTCCAGGCCAGCAGGCTCCTGCTGCTAACTGCCTGAGGGCAGGTTTGTGTCTGCTGTGTTTTTGTGGCGGTGTGAAGGATGGAGGTAATATGTCAAAACAAAAGGTAATTTGTAGCACAGTATGCACCAGATGGAGTTGCACAGAAATTAGAGAAGGAACACTCTGGTTCTCTGAAGACTAGAAAAGCCCACGGGAACCCACTGACTCGCATCCCTTCCCTAAGTGGAGGTGGAGCACATAAACACATTCAGACACTTAGTGTCTGTTCAAATAGCATGTAGTTTTTAGCAGAGGAGGTTGTATTAAGTATAAATTACATTGTTTATCTGAGAATGATTTCACAGTCTAAGTGCAACACTGGTGTTTTCTGAAATAATATTCCTAGAGAAAGAACTAGAGTTGGGAAATAGGAACGGTTTCTGATGCTGTGTACTATATATTCATCAGCTAACAAGGGGGCGGGAGGACAAGAAAAGGATGGAACAAATACACAGTATTCTCCCCGTCTTTTTATCTAACCACTTCCAGACACCAAAGGGAAGTACGGGGCCAGGGGGTGACTTGGTGGGTAAAAGCAGGGTGAGCAAGACAACCCGCTTTGGATTCAGAGAACCCACATAAAAGCCAGATGTAGTAGCATACGTTTGTGATCCCAACATTCCCATAGTCCTGAAGCTCATGGGCCAGCAGGCTGGAGTACACAGGACAGCAGCAGAAACAACAGACCCTGCCTCAGAGAGGGCAGAGTGAAAACTGACTTCTGACTGTGTCCTGGTTCCCAACATGCACTATGGTATGTGCCTTAGGTACTGCTCCATTGCTGGAAAGAGACACTGTGACCAAAGCAAGATATAAAAGAAGGCATTTAATTGAGGGCTTGCTTGCAGTGTTAGCCGGTTAGTCCCTGACCGTCATGGCAGGGAGCATGGCGGCAGGCAGGCAGGCAGAGTGCTGGACAGTATCTGAGAGCTTACATCTTACCCACAAGCAGCAGGCAGAAAAATAGCAAGAAGGGCCTGGTGTGGGCTTTTCAAACCCCAAAGTCCACCTCCAGTGACACACTTCCTCCAGCAAGGCCACACCTCCTAATCCTTCTTAAACAGTCTAC